AAATCAGTCCACCATTCACAAGGGTAGCCAAGGAGTTGAACTTCAAACAGTAGCAACCACAGGAAGTGGTAAAAACAGGATTTGCAACCTCCAGATGTCATGTCTGTAGTTCTAACCACTTGGCCAGGCTGCTGCAGTCATATCATAAGACATTGTATACCTTATGCTCAATGTGGATCTCCTCTCTTCTCCCATTTCCTTTGCAGGCAGTTGTTTTTTCCTCTTCTTTGGTGCTGTTTTATTGTGGTCAAAAGTCATATTTTTCACCTCTAAGTGACAAAGAAAACACCGTCAGAGAAAGTGAATGTTGAACATGTAGAATTATTCAGTGTTGCACAACTGTGATAGTCAAAATAGTACATTCACGTATATTCTGGAAAACAGATTTTCTTTGCACTCCTTTGAGTTTACCTTACCCTTTGGGTTAAGCAATGCCCCTACAACTTTTCAGTGGTGCTTGGACAAGTGGTAGCCCCACCACAACAACAACAACAACAACAATCTTTATTTCGTGCCCAGAAAAATTTTACAATAAAAATAAATACATGCAATGTGAAAAAATAATGAAAAACAGAGCACAGCCACTTAGAAATAGCTAAGGCTAATTGAGCTAAGTGGCTGGGCCAAGCAGAAAAAAATATTGCAATAAAGTTACAGAATATATATATATACATATATATAAAAAACAAAACAGGACACGATTTCATTCACACACACACGCAGACACACACACATACAGAGAACGAAAAAAGAAAAAAATGAGTGTGCACACACACACACACAAAAAATGAAAAATTAAAGTACATCAATGTACCAGTCAGTAGTTGGAGATAATCAATTCTTTTAAGAGATTTTTGAAGCAAGCACAACTCTTAGATTTAAGTGAGTCATCAATGGAATTCCAAACTTTAGCACCGAAAAAACGAATGTTAAATTTGCCATAATTAGTCCAAGCTTTTGGCAGATAGTATGAAATCTTACTCGCCAGTCTGGTTTGATATTGATGCACTTTGTTGATACTCTTAAAGAAATTGTCAAAAATTAATGGCAGTCTATTAGAGTGATAGTCGTACATAAATAAAGCACTATATAAATATATTAAGTCACTTTAAGTATTTTTAATGTCTGAAAGAGTGGACTAGAGTGGGAATTATATTCTGAGAATGTCATTATTCTGACTGCTTTTTTTGTAAGATGATAAGAGGTAAAAGAGTTGTTTGATATGTATTCCCCCAAGTTATTAAACTATAAGTCAAGAAGGGATAAATTAGTGAGTACCGGTAATACAACTGTAAAAGGACCTGGTCGGTCACAGAGCATAACAAAAATTTAATAGGTGGTTAAAATATAATAGTCACTTGATTTACATGGACTCTACTTCAAAGGAGGATGAAATGAACTGGCTGACTAATATGTATTTTTTATATCTAGCTTGCTCCTATACCAAGAGCCCCTCATACTATTGTCATTTCTCCCAGTTTGGTCACACAATGAACAAAGGAGTCATTCCTACAAAGGTCACAAATGGCAGTGGAAGCAACCTCAGGTACAGAGCTTTTTATGACGGTGCTACTTATTGGTGACAATTTACACCAGGCTAGACTGATTTACCCACACAATTCTATAAGCGTGGTGAGTTGAACAACCAGCAATTCCATGAATTAGTTTATTTTAATGCCTCAAATAGGAGGTTCAATCCCTTACAATACATGATCAAAATTAGAGTACTTAAAATAAAAACAAAAAAACATGACAATGTTTATTATGGATTTGCTATCATACGTCAGTTCATCCTGGCAAATTCAACTGAGTACAAGGTACCACTACTCACCAGCAAGAGGTCTGTGATATATTAGCTGATTCTGGTCATTTATGGATTTCATGTTCTGGACATAGAATGTTCCTCCAAATCTGGAATGTCTGTGTTGGGTGGTAAATTTTGTCAGTAACATTTGCAACCTAATCATTGGCTGACAACTAACCATGATTTTAATAGTGAACTAAATCATGTTTTAAAAAAATAAGTACATTGTTACTTTAACATAGCTGAAGGATAAAGGTGACTGGAGTCTCAAATTTGGTAGCCCTTCCAATAAATGAATATCTACTGCAGGGGGTCAGCCTTTCTTGCTTGTATTACTGGCTACTTTGACTGGGTTAGCAACTTTAGAAATATACTACCATATCCATATCTAGTAGGTAACATAACAATGCTCCCAAGGTTTTGTACCAACCAAGAGATTACTTGGCTATTCATGTTCACTACTTCAGTTCTACTCAAAATTTCCTTTTTTTTTAGCTTTAAATAGCCTTTGACTACTACAGGAGGCTCAGCAGATCTTTTCCAATGTAATGTTTCTAGGAATTTGTTTGTAGCCCTTGATGCACTCTATAATCCAAAAAAGTTTACTTGATAATTTTTAAATAAAAATGGCCTACCTGCCAGAAAACTTTCTTGCATTATTAAGTTTCTCTGCAAGCTCTTGCTGGCGAATGATTTCAAGTTGTCTGTCATAAGAATTTAAGAAAACAGCAAAGTTAAATATAAAATATTATAATTATAATAATGAGTTGATGCTGTGTTGTTTGAACGAAAACAGTGAATTTCATTCTGGCTAACTTAGCTATAGCCTGGTTCTTTCCTCATCCCGAAAAGATGGTTGAAGTCGGTTTTCAAACTTAGGTTCCTTACAAGGCTGAACTGTTACTTTTGTTTAAACCTGCAGTGCTCAAGACAATGTCAAGTTCAAAACAGTCTGCATGCACACCAGCTTATTGGACTTCCCTTCAGTGTGATGGTTAAGGGTGTCATTGAAAATATTTTGTTTGTACAATAATTAGAACACATTGTAACTGTCAGTCATTTAATAATTTCACTACCTTTCATCATCTTTCTTTTCAGTTCTTGATCTTCCTTCACCAGCTTTTGCCAAACTTTCTGGATTCTACAATACAGTTATCTGGTCATAAATATGGCAAACTGTGACCACTTATTGGTGAGGTAATCCGCTATTCTTGACTATACAATAATAGATATTCTACTGTCATAGTTAATTTGCTTGCCACTGGACATGCAATTTGTGCACTTTGAGATGTGTTTTTTCCTGGGCAATTTCACAATTTCTGACATTGTAAATCATTGGAAAATACTTTGCACAGATTTCAGGGAAAACTACTATAATATTACAAGGTCTTATAGTTAAAGACCTTTTACAAAGTATATATTATTTGTTTCTTCTTTAGACCTCTGTAGTCTGCAGGGTTTCATTAATGTTTTCAGCGGGAGGGCAATTTGTTTTTTACAGGCAGGCAAAAAGTTTTTGAAGGGAACTTCTTTGAAACAAAAACTTTCCTCTAGATGGTCAAATCGTCCTTACAGCTTGTCAATTTTCCTGGTACCCAGCCCTTAATGAAACTCAAGTCTCTGGAGAATCTCAAGCAAGTCTGCATTTACTACCATAGATTAAAACCAACCTGCTCTCTCAACATCAATGAAACAATTTCCAAAATGTGCATACTCCATCGTCTCTGTAAACAGTTTACAGTTTATTATTATTGATTTCCATTACAAATTGCAAAATAATATAATTTACACTATACCTGCATCTAGATTACAATAATTGAGGCAGAAATGGTAATAAATAAATAAATAAATAAATAAATAAATAAATAAATAATACTTTAAGTCTCAAAATAAAGAAAGAAAAAATTTATATTAACAAACACATGTGATGAGTGATAAGTAGTGATAAGTGCACTAGTAATAAGTAGGACTTCTGAAAATAGGAATTCTGAAAAGGTCAAGTTATAACAAATACAGTCATGAAATACACTAATTATAGGTATTCTAACAATATCAAGACTAAGGAATGGACGTCAACATAATGATCCTCAATCCCAAGTACTTTAACAGTAAAAAAAACATCAACGCTGTAATTAATGATTGCAATCATTTGACAGTGCCTGAGTGCCCTACATGAAGATGGCTATTGTAGCCAATATTTGTCTCAATATTGAATTCACGTCAGGTAAGGTGTAATTTAAATAACAAAGAATAGGAAACATTAATTTAAATTATGGGAACTGACAAGGAAAAACATGAACACTGACATAAACACCAAGGGTTCTTCATTAAGGAAATACAGTATACTAAATAATTTACAACCCACCTCATCTGGAGAACTTGCTATGAAGAGCAGAAGATCATCTATTCCATTGCTGTGGAGATTCCTGTGCAAGCAAAATAAGAAGCAAGATAAAAATACTACTGGAGAAGTTGTGGTGAAGAAGAAGGTATCACACCACACCTAGTGGAAAAACACCAGGGAGTGAGATTTTAGCTGAAATTAAACAAGATCTGGAAGCCTACAGCAATGGTCATGCCAACAGGAGGATGCTGTTGATGAGGGTGACAATGATTAGGCTGATAATGATGGAGTCGATGACTGGAACGGATACAGGATTTTCGATAAGGGGGTTGCGGCAGGTCTTTTTTGCAGGGTGCAGGTTGCAATTTAATTATAACTGGAAAACCACTGGCAATAAAAATAATTAATAACCTATATACTTGTCAGGGGTTCTTACCTAAAGTAGTTCGCGTCTTTCACATAGTGAAAACACGATCGATCCGCTATAAGTAGTTATCGATTGACACGCTGAAACCAGTGAAATCTCTTCAAAGCCATCTGAATGGCCGCTCCACAGATGTTTCCATCGATTCCAGAATTGGCTTGGGTCTTCCTATAGGACTCCACAAGCGAATTTTTATTTTAGCTTGCCATTTATGTATGCAAATTAGGACTATTTAAATGCTATGGTTTCCTAGCGCACCAACCTTTTCAACGTTTTCTATAGCTTCAAGTTAATACTGTTTCGGAATCTATACTCTACCTGGCTTCACCATCATCACTACAGTCAGGAAACATTTGTAAGTCTTTATATTCTGTCCTGTATTTTTCTTATCGCTTGGTTCTTCTTCACATGTATTTTAATTTATTTTTCTAGTCGAACCTTGCTTGATCTTTCAATACTCAACAGGCTCCTTGAGTCTCTTCAACAGAGCGTGAGTTCGAAATCTCTAGGCGTAGCATCAACAAGAACTGTAAGCTACACTTCCCTTAACAACAAAAGATTGCCATCACAAATGAAGCAAATAAATA